GTACCGGCAGGGATTGTAGGTGGGGGGGTGATATCCCTCTCTCCCACCTTCAATACCACGACTGAGGTGCCCTTGAGCAAGGCACCAAACCCCCAACGGCTCCCCGGATGCCGCAGCAAAAAATGGCTGCCCACTGCTCCGGGTGTGTGTTCACGGTGTGTGTGTGTGTTCACTGCTGTGTGTGTGCACTTTGGATGGGATAAATGCAGAGCACTAATTCCAAGTATGGGTCACCATACTTGGCCACGTCACTTCACTTTCACTTTCAACAGGCCTCATTTTCACTTCAGATTGCATATGTTTCATGCCGTAAGGTTAAAGGTTAATGACAACAGATGCTTTACTTTTTTATTCTTTTCAGTTAGGCTGCATGTCACATTTCTCCAGTTCAGAATAAATATCAGATAAGTAATCATGCATGTGGCACAAAACAACAAGCTCAGAGACATGCACATCCTATCAAAGATCTGCTTGTCTGTATTTAACCTTCAATACTGAACAATGTTTTGATGTTTATCACCTTGGAAACAGATTTTGAAGGCAACTGAAGATCACTTCATAAAGCTCTGTGAAACACTGCATATTTCTCTCTTTCTTTTCTTAGTGTATAGAGCGTTTCAAGAAGAACATTACATTGAAGTCATTTTATGTCACATCTTTCTTCACCAAAACTATTTGTTTATTTTTTAAAAGCCTTTAACTACAGTGTCTGTGTTAAAGGCTCACATAAAAAGCATATGTCCAGCTTTTTGCACATAAAAAGTTCAGGGCCAACAGGGCTACCAAATGTGTCCTTGGCTCTCCGAGTTGCAGCAGCAGCCTTACTAAAACAGTATGCAGAGTTTTACACTTTGGATTATTTCAGATGTTTTATTAATACTGGGAATTTCAAACTTTAAATATGTTTGAATACACTATTCACTGTGAAAATATCTACATTACATTTATTGATGCAACTTAGAAGCAGCAAGTCCAAGATTGCTTATAGTTAAGCTATGCTTGCTGGTTTCATTACACTCATGTGAATTTAATAAGAATAAATATATAATCTCTGCATGGGCTTCAATGCACTTTAAAACAGTCAGTCTGTTTGCTTCACTTGAGTTGGAAATGTTCATGAATTAATAATTATCCCATAGTGTTCATTTACAGTTTTATAACTGGTTTAGCTTTTGTCTTTGTTGGATTATGCTGAGCTTGCAGTCATTTCCCACATATTTAATCTCTATTATCACTCCAATATCTGATTTGTAATTAAAATAATCTTTGAGGCTAGGACCTTTTATGTTATGAGAATTTCAAGTCTGAGAAATTATAGCAAAATGGATATTACAATAATTGACATGCCTCTCTGGAATACATGATTCTGATTGTCCAATCGTGACAGTCAAATATTTTTGCATAATTGACTCGTCTAAAGCATGATTTTGATCTCTCATCAACTTATGGTCTTTTTTTCTCATATTATAAAATCAATATTCCTTGTCACTTATTTATTCATTTAATATTTACTGTATTTTAATATGAAAAAAAACAGCAAAATGATCAAGTCAGCTCAAGTCAATATTTCATGTCACTTATTTATTTAGTGTATCTCAAGTATGAGAAATCATAACAAAATGACTATTAGAATCATTTGCACAGCTCTCCGGAATACTTGTTTCTGACTGGCAAAATTGTGGCATTCAAATATTTTTGCAAAATTTACTGTTTTCCCAGGCAACTGATTTTCTGCATAGCTCTTTCATCACCATACGGTCTTTTTCACATAATAAAATAATTTCAACTCAAATCAATATATCATGTCACTTTTTTAATTTATATGCTAAGTAGCCATTTAATAAATGGCATAACGCCTGGCTGTACATTATCTCTATGTTATGATTTAAAGAGTAACACTTGTAATTTCATTACTGAACATATATTTTGTGTAATTCTTTCGTCATATCTCTAGTAAAACGTATGTCTCAGTATGACATTGTTTACATGAGTCTTGCAGTTCGCCAAAAAATCAATGGATCAGTGCTGAACAAAATACAGTGAAAAAGACACAACGTGGTTGTCACTCTCCATTTTATTATCTAAATCTGTAAGAGAGATGCATGCAACATTAGGCCACAATTTGAGGTTTCCAGCAGTTTGAATGGCGAGAATGATTCCAGCACCCGTCATCTAGGGAGGAGATGAGAAAATTTAATGCAAAAGAGCCCTACAGTGCTATGCTCCGCACTTCAAAAAAATCTTGCCTGTCTGCATGAGCAGTAACCTCCAATCAGAGTCACTCAGATTGCCAATCTTGGTCACTTGGCTGTTAGCGCAGAACCAATGTGGCAGCACTCATTTGGACACAGTTAGGGCTGGATATCATGAGGTTGACACGGCATGTTTGGAGAGCCTCCTACGTGCCATCAGTCCATCTTTACAAAAAAGGTCCAAGGATAGCTTTGTATATTTCCAATTGAATTTCTCCATTTTGATTTGCAAACACTGCAACACAAAAGCCCTGGCTGTGCAGGGGACAGATTTATCCCTTTAATATGAGAGGCCTGACAAACTTTTATGTAACAGATCCTTTAGTGACACACTGGCGTTGCTCCAGCTCAGTGGCAGGCATCAAGTGGATTCGGAGCTGGGGCGTGGCAGCACAGAATTGCTGTGAAATCCCAGATAAGCTGAGTTTCAGTGGCAGTAGAGCCGGAGCGAAGTGAGTGGGAGGACAAATGCATGAAAAAAAAAAGAGCCTTACCATCTGCTGCTGTGACAGTGACACGAAGGCAGACCTTCAGGCAAGCCCCTGGATGGAGATCGCCCCCCAAATAAGCCAGGGGTTTGTGAAATCTTCATTAGATTGAAAAGATTTCAGTTGCATTAGATAACAAAATAGTCTTTAATTTTATATGCCGTCTTCGCAAGGCCTTTTAAGCAACTGGTGTCATTTTTAGGAAACGTATGACGTCAGTTTCCATCACAATAACTTTTTGTGAAATATGCTATGTTTCAATGCCATTTGGTTTGATATCTGATGTAGATAACACTTTACAATGAGATTCCATTTGTTATTAACATGATCTAACCAAGAAAAATACGTCTTAAGCATTGATTAAAGCAACAGTTCACCCCAAAAAAGAAAATTTGTTGAAAATGCACTCAACCTCAGGCTATTCAAAATGTACAGCAGATGAGTTTGTTTCTTCATCAAAACAGATTTGGATAAATTTAGCATTACATCACTTGCACATCAATGGATCCTTTGCAGTGAATGGGTACCGTCAGAATGAGAGTCCAAACAGCTGATAAAAACCTCACAATAATCCACAAATAAACCACAGGACTCCTGTCCATCAATTATGTCTTGTGAAGTGAAAAGCTGCATCTAATGTAAGTACTGTATAGCAAATGCATTGCTCATTACTCAATGCATTAACTAACATTAAGTAATAAGAGCTTATTGCAGTGTTACTGATATCTGTAGTTGTGCCAGATATTCATTAGTGTATTGACATTATGCATGTTTCCCAACATTATTTACATGTAGTAAATCAAATTTGTCATTCCTAAACTGTATCATTACCATTCAAAGAGAAACATTTGGAATTGCGGCCATTACTCAGAGGACGCAGTTTGTCTTGTTGCGGATGCAAAAAGCATGCTAATTAACAAAAGAAAATCCAGCAGTATTACTGCAGGGTGCCAGTCATGGCAAACTGCCTTCTGTCTGATGTTCTCTCAACAGGAAATAAATTACAAATGGAAAGAAACGCTGACTACCATTGTTTGATTCTTTTTCATTCTCTGGGTTGTTCCTGTCAGAGCTTATTATATCATTAAATAAATAGTTCATTATGATCTTTGTATGACTGGAAGAAGCACACTTCATAGAATGGTTTATATAATGTTTATGATATTCAAACGCCATTTTTAAGCATTTGAAACCAAGGAACTGAATAGCATATCAGTAGATTTTCAGTGGAAGTTGTGTAGTCATTCTGCACGCACGAAAAAAAACTTTTCATCATGTTGTTGCATCCATTTAACTTGTCACAGTAATTTTTACCCAATAGAGCAGTTATGTTGTATTCCTATAATCCGGAACAGACTAAGCGTTTTCAAACCAAGGGTTCCCTTGGGACTGTTTTAGGTATTTTTAGAATGGTGGTTTTGGATTTGTGAGTAAAAAAGTCTGTGGTCTGTGGTTAACTTTACTTGATAAAACATTTTTTAAGTAAGTTGCTAACGAGGTTGTTAAATAAGGGCTACAGCTACCAAAGGGAATTGTACATCCTTATCCACTTTATTTGTCAACGCGGAAGTAAGATATTTTCAGTGAATGTCAGACTTCCGATTCAGCCGCTATACAAGTAACGTTACATAACTATGGAATAATAACTGAGTGCAATTAACAATAAAAGATTTGCGCTACAAACAAGTGTGTTTAGAATTAGGAAAATAAATTTAAATAATATGATAAGAAATACCAGTTTGCAATATCAAGCAGCATAATAATAATAAGCTAAAATAACTGGAACGGACGACACCGTAAACCTCGCATATTCATGTTACAAATGTCCGCGCCCGATATTAAGCCTACGATTTTAAATTCATACTTGAGGTAAACTTCGTGTAATTTGTGTGTATTTCGTGTAATTTGTGGCTCTTTGGAGCCGTTTTGGGTCTACAAATGACTTTATGACTCAATGGTAGAAAGTAGCGTTACAGTATCGCTGCAGGTTAGAACTTACTTCTTAGTTTCAATTCGGTTGATTGTCTTACAGTGTAGTAAAATAGTCTAGTAAATGCCACGATTATGTAATACACAGTATTCTGTAAACAAAAATAATCGGAAGTGAATCAAACTTGTCATTTTACAACTGCAATGCATTGATCCCACGAGAATTATGTGGAATTGCGTCGATCACGGGGAAGTTTTGGCTTTTAGCGGATGCATTTCACTCGTGCATTAGATTTGAAAGCATGCATAGTTTCCGATGCAGAGCTTTTTGAGGTCATATGTGTCTTTCCAATCTGTCTTTTCCTCCAGCCATACAGACAGCTGTGGGAAAGGCGTGTATGCCCACCGCTGATGCCATGTGGTCAAAGCAGCTGTGCAGCTGATAACCAATGACAGGCAGAAGACGCCGCGCGGAGCTGCGGCATGCGTCGCGTCGCGCCGCGCTGATATTTAAACCATCCACACATCGCGCATGCCAGAGATGCGAGCTGCAGCGATTTCTGCGCCGAGTGCGGAAAGATGCTGCCTTTCCCGAGTCATCGAGTTCATGGATTAAGCTGGATTTCAGGACACACCTGTAGATTTCTCACCTGCTCTGCATAATGCCTTATCTGAGACAGTTCCTGATTTCAGTGCTCTTCCTGGGCTCGTTTGGGGAATGCTGGAATAAACACACCACGAGAGAGAGGAGGTGGACAGGAGCTGTGGAAACTCAGAAGCATGGGACGTAAGTGGCATTTCAGTCTTTGACAACTGAACTTGGATTGATATTTCCCTTGCACATTGCTGGGTTCACAAATGATGATGATGACTAATTGTGATGATGATGATGATGATGATGATGATGAATATAGCAATAATCACAATGAAGATGACTGAAGATGTCTGTCAACAAGTACACACAACATTTTTGTTTCTATCTATTTGACTAGTCACGATTTTTTTTTTTTTTTAGTTTCAACTGGATTTTCTTCATCAGTGAACTTATTACTAAATGTTAAGACGGATTTTTACTTAAGGCGGCAATTCAGCTTAAGGTTTAGTGGGTTTTACAGTCTGCTAATACCGATATTTGCAGAACAGAGTGGCTGTCTGACCGATATTATACAATTTAGTTATAGCAGCTGAGATATATAAAATTATAGAAATGAACCCTTAAATGCATGTGTCTGATTGTCAGTTTTTGCTTTACTTGTGGTCTTTTCATCTGAAAATCTAGGAATGCCTCAATTAAGTCTGAATTTTAATTAAACTTAATTTTAAAATACTATATGTTATATACAGCCTATGCATCTAATTCTATGCATTTTGACCCACATATTATATGAATTTTATGGGGGAATGCTAGCATTGCATTTTAGGGTTAAATTGAAAATTATAATTACAAATAAAAAAACAGAAAATGTATGACACTTCTGTTAATCGATCAAGTGGCCAGTTATCGGCCGATTCTGGTAATCTCCATATGATCAAATCTCATGTGCACCGTAAAAAATAATTTTTCGAAGTTGTAAATAAAACAAAGATTATTGGAGTACGTTTTATAAGACAATACTATTTCGTTCTTTTTACTTCAAAATTTCATGTTTAATTCAACTGCATTTCTTAGTAATTATTTGTGAAATTTACAAGCAATTTCTGAGTGAAAATTGTTTAAACTAAAGTTTCAGTGTATCGGATCTATATCGGTTTATTACTAATTACAAGCATTTTTTGATAATGTGTCTGATTTATGTGTTACGAGATGACAGTGCTGCACATAAGAACTGAGGTGATGGTGTGAACTCATTCATCGATGTCTTTCACAGATCATTTTTCGACCACCTTTATTAGCCTGATTTCTGTATGACAGCAGAGTGCCATAAATGAGGCCACGGCCCAGTGCGCAATTAACATGACCCAGACAGATGATACCGCCACTCAACTGAATACATATCGCTGTTGTGCTCGAACTGGTGCTTCTTACTCAGATAAACAGCCACGTGTCACAGGCACATTTCACCCATCTGCCAAGGACAGTATGTTGGCACAGAGCTGTCCTGACAAACAGCTCACATGGGTACAGCTTCATGGGTCTACAAAATTAAAACAAACAAAAATCTGCAGAATTAACATGTTGTTAGAGTGCAAATTTACATGAGAAAATCCAGCAGTATCGCTGCAGACAGGGTGCCAGTCATGGCAAGCTGCCTTCTGTCTCATATTCGCAACTGGAAATAAATTACAAATGGCAAGAAGCTGAGAGGAACGAGGCAGTCGACTTCTCACTGTCAGTGATTGTTATATTGTCACATAAAGAGTTAATTATGTGCATTGTTTGACTGGAACAATCACAGTTCATGAATCCAGTGTTCAGGACTCATATGAACGTCTGTCGATAACATCTCCTGTAATTTGTAACAGATCCGGCTGCTGCAGTTAGTTCACCACTGCCTTAACAATTTGTTGATTCAAGCGCCGTGCATGATCTTAATCCGTCATTACACTTTTGCGGCTGCATTTTCACAGAAATTATGTAAACGTCATTGACTTTGAGGGTTCAGGCTGAATTTTTCATGTAACCTGTGGTAGATTCCACTTAACAATAGTGCACATTGTCTAAATTTGTGATGTAAGAGGCTGATCTGAGTTTTTTGTGACTTTGAAACCCGCAGCTCCCTGGCAAAGAAGCCACCGGATGTGACAAAATCACGGCGACTGAAAACAGAGCAGTTGTTGAAAGTGGATGACCATGACTTCACCATGAGGCCCGCGTTTGGAGGTTAGTTCATCATACTTCTGTGTTGCAAATGTAAATTGCATTTCTTTGCCTTAATTTATAAGCCACAAACTCAGTCAGGAACCTATTTAAAAAAAAAATCTTCAAAGACATGCACATTATGTGTAATTTAAAAGGTTTAGCATCCAAATCCTCTGAAGATTAGTCAAAATAAGACAAATGTACTTCAAGCATGAGACTAAGAAAGTCATAAGTCCTGTTGATAAAGTACTATTATAATGTCTTCACTCCATCAGTTCCCTAAATGCCACTAAAAATAATTTTAGTTGCATTGTTTTGATCTTATGTACAGATACAGTATTTAGTATGCACAGTTTGAGAACATTCAGGTCAGTTACTTGACCAGCAGGCATTAAATCTACATTGGCTCCCTCTAGAGGGGTAAACAACCTCATTGTTAAGCACTGCTGTGGCCTGTAATTAAGACTGCGATTTCACTTTTACTGGAGTGCATTTGGTTTTGAGAATTGGAGTTTGTGATGTGCATTAATAGGCAGGTGAATTTAGCCCATTGTTATTTGATATTAAGCCATAAAGTTGCCTGTATAGTGTATCATATACCCCAAACTATTATTTTACATAGAATTTTTAATTCATCCAATATAAAATTGTAGAAAGTCTGAAACCAAATCCGCTATTATTTAAAACTGGAAATATAAAGTTTTATGATTCTGAAACAGAAAACTATTGCTAGGTCACTAATCAAATAAGTAAATTTTGTGTCATTGATCATGTGACTCTCTGTACAGATAGTCATATGTTTTTGCTTCCATTGAAGCACAAGATTGTCTTTGGATCATGCTGGAAAAGATTTACACAAACTTGTGGAGTTGGTGTAAATCAAGAGCTCAAGAGCTGCTGCCATTGAAGCAAAGGGGCAGAAACCAATTACTTTCTGAAATTCATGCTTATTTTTCATGTAAATATCCCACTCGAATTGCTACAGTGATAATATAATTGGTCTGTTATTTCATGTTAAGAATAATAATGAACGCTTTTTTTTTTTTTTAGAAATGAGTCAGCGTGCTTTGATTTAATTTATGCATGGACATGGATTTTCTCTGACCTTGATTTCACATATTTCTTTTACAAAGCGATATCTTATTAAACTCGTTCAGATCAATTGCAGTGAGACATTTTTAAGCTTTTAGCTTGGCAGATGGAGCCTTGTGCACTTTACTCAAGCTTTTTAGTAGTAGTAGTAGTATACTTTATTGTCCTCAAGAGGAAAATTGTTATGGACTACATGTTGCTGCAGACATACAATAAAAAATAAATTTACACCAGTTTTAATGAGATAGTCACTGTTGGGAAAGTTAACAATCAATCAGATTACATAGAAACAGCTGGATGTGTGTGCAGATTGATCCTCCGGGAAGATGAGATTATAAAATAGGAATAATTTACCCAAAAAAATGCAAATTGACATTATGTATTCGCTATCATTTAGTTTAGAACCTATATACTGTGATATTTTCAGTGGATTTCAGTGATAGACATAATAATTTTGTCATAGTCATACAAACACGTCCAGATTCAAAAATGGCATGTCAACAGCAAAGTTTTTGTGTGTGTATAAACATAACCTGCCATTTTTGATGAACAAGAATGTAAGATTATTAAGGACTAATGACTTCTTATGGCTTCAGAAGACTCTTATGGTGCTTTTTATTTTTAGTGGGTTTATTTTCTTGCCTTTTTTGGAGTTTGATAGTCATGGTCACTATGAACTGTCACTGCAATGGTGTAAAGATTCAAAAACTCTTCCTTTTGTGATCCATGGACAAAAATAACAGCATAACTGTTTGCAATGACAGGAAAGTGAGTAAATCATGTCAGAATTTTCTTCTTTTTTTTTGTATGATCTATTTCTTTAAAGGGGTCATATGATGTTGCTAAAAAGAACATTATCTATTCCTTCTCTACCACGGCTATGGTATTAAAGGATGATATAAGGGGGAGCTCAAGGCTTCTCTTTAAACGTATGACACTTAAAAGTTTGCGTAGTAAAGGCTAAGAACTAATGAAAGTTCTCCTGCTAGTCCATACAGTCCCCCTGTTCTTTTTTTTAATGATGTGTTCCTATATAGGGCAAAGAAAAAGAAAAACTCCCATGTTTGATGCCGTTCCTCCTATGAATAGAGTATCTAAAAAGTCACTCGTTTGGATGCTCTGACTCGGCGTACGTTTGGGAATTGCTCTTTGTTCAGCAGGGGGTCAGAGCAAAGGGAATGAAAACAGCCCAAACATATTCACCCCCTCAGACGCATACACAGATCTGTCAGCTCTGTCAGTGAAGCATTGTTGCATCTGCTTGACGGTGAAAACCTGACTGCTAGTTCAAAACATGATGTAATGACTTCACAATTGTCAACCAATGTCATAGATTCATAGTATTGTAGATTTTCACCAAGGGGTTAAAGGGCATTTTCATTTGCTTTTCTTCCAAAACACAAGATAGATAGATAGATAGATAGAACTGTAACATACTTTGGTTAAAATTCCTCAATGGTCATGTAAAACAGCACCCTTTTTACCTTGTCAAAAACAACCCTGTTCACAGCGACTTGTTTCGGTGCATGTCTCTTTAAATGATAATGAGCTACTGCGGGGTGTTGACACAAGACACATGAATTTGCTGCCTTGGACTCAGTATATAGCTCAGAGGTGGTCAAATAGCTAGCTATCTACGTAGAAACTGGCTGCAAATTAAAAAAGCTTGATGGATGACATGGTTTCACACTCAGACAGCGCATAACAAACTGGCTGCTTGCTTTCTTTCTTTTTTAGCTTTTCTGAGCTGGCAGATATGCTAGAAACCTAAGTAAATGCAAAAAATAAATAAAATTAAATAAAATAATATTTTATTTAAATATTTTAAATAAAAATATATTGCTGTATCAAAGGTATTTCTATGATCTTGTTGAACCATTACTTTTCACAGAATTTGTTAGTCAATTTTTTTTTTTCTCATTTTTTAAAATGATTTTAAAATGTAGAATTATGCAATGAGCTATTATAACATGTACTTTATAATAATAATAATAATAATAATTGGCTTTATGGTAATTACGTCTTTTTTCAGTAAATGTCAAATAAGTCAAAGGATACTGAGCTTAAAAATTTACAGTGCATTTGTGAAATATGCATATACTGACATTGTTGCTCAAAAATATGTATGATACCAGATGAACCAGACTGTATTAAAACCAAAATAATAGAGAAGCTCTTCTTAAAATAAAGAGGTTGCGAATTGCCCAGTGACAACAGGCCAGTTCAGAACAAGGGGTTATTTTGCATGTAGATGTTACTCAAAAATATCTTGCTCTATTCCAAATATTTACATGGTTTTGTTGAACCATTTCTTTTCACAGCTCTGTCAATATGCTGCAATAATAATTATATATAAAATTATGAATTTTGGACCAGGAAAATTACATTGGCTTTCATCCCTGTTGTGTCCTATCATATTAAACAATGCTTTTTAGCATGCTTTTCATCGACCTATTGCAGTATATTGGATACTGCAATTGGTCAATGAAAAGCATGCTAAAAAGTGATTAGTAAATCGTAGCTCAGGTATAATGTGCCGTGTGTACTGCATAAATGAGATTTACTTCAGAAGCAAAAGAGAATTGCTAATGCATGACTGCAGTCTGGTTTAAACCCAGAGACGGCTAACTGATGGTGCATAAAGTTTATGTCTAATCCTCCACAAGGGGAGTATCAGTTGATGTACGCAGAACATATAGCACTCACTGCGTGTTTATGGGTCATTACAGGGCTGTATGTGTTTCTTGATGTGAAGGATTACACATATTAAAGATTGGTATCATGTTGTAGATGACACACATGCCTGTTTACTTCTGTCTGCAGATTTGCATATGCGCAACGCAGCTTTCAATACTAATGTTCGGGCCAGCTGGGCCAACAGCGTCTGAAAATTAGATAGGAAATTAAATGAAAGATCAAAAGATATCAATAGCATCTCTGTACCAGGATGCCACATGTCTCAAAGCCAGCGGCCTTTTTCGTGTTATTCGTACAGCCAAAATTGGCTGAATTCTGACTGACATTCCGCGAAAGGATCACTTAGTTATACGAGCTGCATGCGAAACTGAGGACGATTGTAATCACATTACATTTTGTTGGCACTCTCTCTCTTTTCTCCCTTTTTTCTATTTGTCCGTTAAAGATTTAAGCGTTCCCCTCTGATGGGTTGGTCCATCTGGAGGACCGCTTGATTTGCTATGGACTGAGGCGCTATGGCGCTGGAGGCGAGATTAATCTGGCAGCGGTTTGTATTGACCGATCATGTGGATTAGCACATGCAACAATCCCAGCCTGCCCTGCCCCACAGACAGCTGGTTTAAAGACCGCCCACTAGCCAAACATCAACCAGCGATTACCAGCTCAATGTCATAGCCTCGGGAACTTTGATAGAAAAGCACTATTAATAAAATCAACACTGGAAAGGGGTGATTTATTCATTTTTTTTAAAGGAGTAGTTCACTTTAAAAATAAACATGTTGTTGCACTATGACTATGACTTTCTTCTGTGAATACAGGTGGAGATATTTTTATGATTTTTTTGAAGGATAAAAAGTCATATGGGTTTGGAACAACATGAGTGTGTAAATCATAACAAAAACATTATTAATTAATTCATTTTTTTAAATGAACTGTACATTTAAAGAACATTTTGTTATAATCATTGTTCCAAACCTCTGTGATTTTTCTTCTTTTTTCTGTGGAACACAAAATGATATATTTCTCTGAATTTTTAGAGGATAAAAAGTCATATGGGTTCGAAACAACGTGAGGATGTGAAAATAAAAACAGAAAATTATTGATTTATTTATTTATTATGAACATTTTGTCCTCATCTTTATGTTGTTTCAAACCTTTAAGACTTTCATCTATGGAACACAAAAAGATATATTTTTATGAATTTTAAGAGGATAAAACTGTGTAAATAATTAGAGAAAATTCTTTATTTTTTATTTATTTATTTTTTGATTAACTATCTCTTTAATGAACGTTTGTTGTAATCATTATGTCCTTCTAAACCACTATGACTTACTTTCTTCTGTGGAACATAAAAAGAAAATACTTTTAACAATTTTAAGATAAAAAATCATATTGGTTTGAAACGACATGAGAGAGTATAAATAATAATTATTTATTTGTTTTTTTGTATTTTTTAAGAAAATGAATTTTAAGAGAATAAAAAGTCATATTGGTTTGGAACAACAAGAGAGTGTGTAAATAATAAGAGAATTTTCATTCATTCCTTCATTCAACTATGCCTTTAGGAACATTTTGTCATAATCATTACATTGTTCCTAACCTTTATTACTTTCTTTCTTCTGTGGAACCCAAAAGGAGATATTTTTATAACATTTTTTTAATTATATTATTTATTTAACAATATTTATTTATTTATTGATGAACTATCCCTTTAATGATATCCAGTTGATACAGAGATCTTTGAATTGGTTTTTAATGGGAAAAGCACAAATATCCAAGTGGTAACTACAACTGAGAAATAGGACAGCTGAACTCAAGGTCATTCTAATGGTTTCAGACTCAAACTGACAGCAGGGGGTTGATTAGTTTGGACAAATCGATTTTACCTAGGAGCTGTGTCCTTATTTAGACTTATTTGTGTGATATGAAAAGCCTTGATGGTACATGACAGGGAAATTGACAGGATGGTCCAGTGAGTGTTGCATGGCAATAGTTTACTTATGAGGATTTGGATTACATAAGCGAATTTGTAAAAGTCATCTCCGGTTATTTATCAACAGGACTCAAATGCGTTTTCTGCAGCATATAAAGTAATGCTTGTGCTTTTCCTGAAGGGTTTTTATGAGTGATACATTAAGTGACATGTAATGGCAAGTTTCAGTCAGTGTCGGTATCATTTTGAGCATCAAAGATTAATTTACCATTTCCAGTAATCTCTTCGGATTACTAGGACTAGGAGTGACGATGGGACACACTGGAAATCTCGTTTTGAATCTGTCTGGTGTTCCTACATCATCCCCGTCCATATGTACAGGCCTGCCCCCTGCCCATTTACCTAAATGTCTTACCTTCTGAGTGACAGATAGCCCTATTACACTAATCCTGGCAAAGAGCAAGGGTTTAGATTTGCTACAAAAGACCTTACAAGTGCAGCTCCATGTAGGATATCAAAGCTGCAGTTCCGGTTGAAGGCCCGTCCTTTGAGAGCTAGCATTCCTTACAATCCATCAGATGTCAAAGCAGCTGCTAAGCCTTTTGTGAACAGATCTGGTGGAAAGCAAACAGATCCAGATCTGGCCGTGAGGACGTATTTAATGATGCTCACAGAAGTCTTAGCGAACACCCTGCTACACTCTAAAAAGTGCTGGGTTGTTTCAACCCAATTTTGGGTAAAATATGGACTAACCCAACTGTTGGGTTAAAAAGTGAATTTAAAAATGTAACCAAAATGTAACCCAACAGTTGGTTTAGTGCATATTTGACCCAAAATTGGGTTGAAACAACCCAGCATTTTTTAGAGTGTAATTGCGACTGGTATGAAGCTGTCAGAATCCAGTAAACAATGAGTAATATGAAAAATTAATGCATGGCATATGCAGAACAGGTCATATAGCAGTGGGATGGAGAAGATGGTGTAATTCAATTGACAAACACAGTTGTATATGTTGTAGACATGTTTTGTCTTTTGCAGGTCCTGCTATTCCAGTGGGAGTTGATGTACAAGTGGAAAGCTTGGACAGTATTTCAGAAGTTGACATGGTAGGTAATCCCAAACAGTTGCTTTTCACATGTGTTGTTTTACAAAACATTCTCAGCTATTTGATTCTAAATTATTGAAAATATGAGCACACATTAAACAGTTAAATATGAAACTGACAAAACAAGAAATTATATTTTGCATGACTTGAATTGTTTTTGCTTACATTTAAATATAAAATATATATATATTTTTATGCTATTTAAATCAAATAAAAACAAAGCCAGTAAAACAGTACCATGATGTAAAATGTTTTGCAATTTAAATAACTTTTTTTTATTCATTTATCTATTCATTCATTTATTAATAATAATTAGAATTTTGGGATTAGTAGTCATGAAAATCTACTATCCAAAAATAAAAAAGTCCTAAAAATAGGTTTCATTTTCTATGCAAAGTTTAATTTAAATATAGTAAAATAATACAGAAAAAATATAATAATAAAATATAAATTCTTATAATATATATATATAATTTCTTTCTTTTGATTTTGATGAAGAATTACCTGTACATGATCTTCACAAGTTTTGTAAGAATCACTTTCAATTTCATAAAGGCCCGTTCACACCAAGGACGATAACTATAAAGATAACGATAAAGATATAGTTCTAAAAATCGTTCTCAATATTAAAGAATAGCAGAGTCCACACCACAACTATAACGATAAAGTCAAAGAGAAACGATATCGTTGGAATCACTTTCAAAACGATTTTTTCCCAGCTGATGAACGATAAAAAATTGACAGCCAATCAGAATCCATCCTGCTGTAACGAGCTCGAGAATTTAAAGCGGCAGACGAGCGTGCGCTTAGAATAAACAGACGATATCATTCGCTGCACGCTAATATCGCTATCTTTATAGTTATCTTTATAGTTATCGTTCTTGGTGTGAACAGGGCTTAATTCTCTTGCTTTTTGCCCATTTATTGCTGGCTGTTTTGCAGTTACTAAATCCCACAAGGGTATTCCTAAAAAGGAACATGGATCTTCTTTTTACTTCTGTTTTAACAGAATATGACACCCATTCTGGCATTCCATTCTCATGTTTTGGATTTCCCTCTTGGTAGAAGCCTTTGTGCGATGCAACAAAGAAACTGTGTGGTTCTTTTATTGACCATATATAATTACTGGCCACATCAGATTTTATGGTTATATAACCAAAAGAAAGAATAGAGAAAGGATGATCTGCTTGAGCGATTTAGAGAGGCATGTGGAGGATCAAGAGTTACATCAACGTTCCATTTAAACAAACTGCAAAGAAAAGACTTAAGGAATTGTTGTAAGGAAAAGATGTGAAGTTGGTTTTGTACTTGCTGCAGCGAAAAACAGTTGTCACTCCCAGAACTTTACAGTGTGTACATTGCCTGTATTTATAAAGTAAATAAGTGAATCTCACAAAACCTTTGAAGAACATGGTCTTATTTCACCCCAAAATAAAAAGAAAGAAACCACATTTTGCTTAGAAAATAAAGCCAACATAATGTTTTTATCCTTGGGCATAAAATTTATGACAATCATATCCCCTTCTCTCAATTCTCATTACAGTAAAGCAAAGAAAATCCCAATCCTATCACTATGATGAAAAAAAACAATGTTATGTATTATTCATATCATCATTTACTCACCCTCATGTTGTTGTGAACATAAAGACTTCCTTCCTTGGATCACAAAAGAAGAATTTCTGAAGAATGTGGTCACTCTTGTGATTGCAGTGACAAGGAATATAGCTTTCAAGCTTCAAAAGGAAAAAGTGGTTCCTATGACTTGTGTGCTATGTTCTTCTGCCTTCAGAGGCCTGAACTCTGAAGATTTGGGATATTCCACACAAGTTGTATGAACCACTTTTATGGTACTTCAAAAAGGACACAGAAGCACTAGTCTCATTTTTGTGACATAAACAGTCTTCAAATGTCTGCTTTTGTTTCCCAAGGAAAAAGAAAGTCATACAGGTTTGGAATAACTTGAGAATGAGCATGAATAAAACATGAGCAAACAACATGAGTAAATGATGACAGAATTTTTATTTTTGGTAGAACTATTCCTTAAAAATCATATGTTTTTCTTTCACATCACATACATGAGAATCAAATATTCTTTACCTCACAGTAAGAGGCTTGTTTATTTGGCATGAGAATAATGTCCCAATACTAAAAATCCTAATGGTCCTTTATTTTATTAATGCCAAATATTATTTCTTTTTTTTTTCTTCTGATTTTGGGGTTAAATGTGACAGGTTTTCATGAGATTAACCCGAATGTACACTACTGTTCTCAAGTTTGGGGTCAGTAAGATTTTTCAAAAGAAGTTTTTTTCACCAAGGCTGCAATTATTTGATAGAAATACAGTAAAAAATTTAACATTTTAAATGACTGTTTTCTATTTGAACTTATTTTCAGGTGTAATTCATTTCTGTGATGGTAAAGCTGAATTTTCAGCAGCCAGTACTTCAGTCTTCAGTGTCACGTGATCCTTCAGAAATCTTTCTAATGTGCTGATTTGGAGCTCAGGAAACATTTCTTATTATTATCACTGTTGAAAACGGTAGTGCTTTTTAATATTTTTGTGGAAACTGTGATAGAGTTTTTTCAGGATTCTTTGAAGAAAAGGATGTTTAAAAGAACATAATTTATTTGAAATAGAAATGTTTGTAACATTATAAATTACTGTCACTTTTGATCAATTGAATGCATCCTTGCTGAATAAAAGTACTACTTTCTTTAAAAAAAAAAAAACATACCCAAACTTTTGAACAGTTCAGAAAGCAAGAATGGTAGAGCCTCCTTTAAAAATCACTGTGCTTTAACTAAATATTGTAAAAACCCTTTTTCCTCCATCTGTGTAGGACTTTACTATGACATTATACCTGAGACACTACTGGAAGGATGAGCGCTTGTCTTTCGCCAGCACCACAAATAAAAGCATGACTTTCGACGGGCGCTTGGTGAAGAAGATCTGGGTTCCTGACGTCTTCTTCGTCCATTCTAAAAGATCTTTTATTCATGACACCACCACAGAAAATATCATGCTGAGAGTGTTCCCTGATGGTCACGTTCTTTACAGCCTGAGGTAAAAAAGCAGATTATCTACACCGGCATTTCTGACTTTTAAGTGAGCCATTATAATTCCAATTAAATGTAAGTTATGTATATATGTACAGAGTTTAAATGTATTTATGTAAATGTACTTATTATAATTCCTGTTTAGTTTGTACAATGTAAGAAAAAGTTTATATTTTTTCAGTTGTTCAGCAGTTACTACATTTCACCTCCAAGCAACTCAACTACTGAATGTGGTTTCGTTTAAATGTGGTTCGAAAACAAAATCACGTCGCTTAAGCATTTGCATATTACTGCGGTGTTAAAATTAGAATGACGCTTCTGGCCTGTGATGTTTTTGCTGTGTCTTTTGTGCTGCGAGTTAAAAATTAGGCCACGCTACCTGCGTGCAGGCTATAATCGAGGGCTAGTGCGGAGTTCAAAGTCAAATTTCAGACACTGTTCTGGCTCCAGGGAAAGTGTCATTATTGATGGGACTAGCCCAGATTATTTCCATTGTACGACAAATGATGGACACCACTACAGAGAACAGAGGAGAAAAATACGGAGAGAAAAATGAAACGGCCTTAGTGTCGGTTCAGTAAATGGCGCTAGTATGCCTTCTTGACTAGCATTACTAAGCACATTTACATCACATTTACATTTTTATTCTTAGCAGGAGCTTTCTTACCAAAGCTACTGTCATTCCAAGCCCATATGACTTTCTCTTTTCTGTGGAACTCCAAAGGAGATGCTTAGCAGAATGTCCAAGCTGCTCTTTTACATCCGTTGTGTGGAAAAGAGCAGCTTGGGCATTCTGCTAGAAAACTACTTTTGCATTTCACAGAAGCAAGAAAGTAGGGCTGGTAAGCTCTGGACATGGATTTGGACATGGATATGAATTAATCTAACAGCCTATCACATGATGCTCACTGTATATTCAGCATCGGCCATCTCTATATGAGGACAGTCCATGTGAACTTAACTTCCAGAGCTTTTCACGGTTTCATTTGAGAAAAACAACCATCAAATACACACCAAATCTCACGACAATCAAGATCATCGTGACAATCTGCCAAAAAAAAGTTCGCTTTAACTCAAAGAAAATTATGACAGAAGTATATTACTATTGTGTGCTAAAATGTACTTTTCAAAGTAATAATATTATTTTTAATGAATATTGGACAACCAATATATTTTTTCATCCATGTTTTAATTTATGCAGTTCTGTTGTGCTGCATCTTATTTGACAAAAAATGCAATGTTTTGTTGTAAATGTTATATTTTCATTTGATTACATTTTAAAATATTGATTACATTGTTAATTCATTTCATTAGACACCATTTTTGATGATACGTTTGTATTAAATCATAAGACACAGAATCCAGAGAAAATAAAATGGGGGGGGGACATAATTTAGGGGAAAATAAAACTGATTTCATGGGGACCTAAATTCAAAGTTAGCTTACTCTGTGGTAAGTAAACTTATGTTTACATTAATTTTCAAGGTCTAGTAAACATTAACTGTAAATTAATATTTGTGATAAATATCGATATCATATGATATGGAAAAATATTGTGATAATATTTTTGGCCATATTGCCCAGCCCCACAAGTTATACAAGTTTGGACATGAAGTTGAGTAAATAGAAGAATTTCATTTGAAACCGCATATGCAAATTCCATGGATTTTGGGTTCGAAAAGTGAATAAAGCAGGCGCCTGTGAGGAATATGATGAAATATAAAGATCTAAGACGGTGGGTTTCTGTATTTTAATCCGTGTTATATATGGTTCTTGTCCCCAGGGTCACGGTTACAGCAGCCTGCAACATGGACTTCAGCCGTTTCCCGCTGGATTCACAGACCTGCACTTTGGAGTTGGAGAGCTGTGAGGGAATCATTAGTTTGTGTTATTTTTAGTGCGACACATGCTCAATCCACTCTGCCAAGTTAGTTTTTCCTGAAATGGATCCTTCTTTTCTAGACGCCTACACGGATGAGGATCTGATGCTGTACTGGAAAAGTGGAGATGAGTCTTTGAGTATAGATGACAAAATCTCTCTCTCTCAGTTCCTCATTCAGAAGTTTCACACTACCTCTCGGCTGGCTTTCTACAGCAGCACAGGTATTGGGGGATTATTTGTCAAGTTGATTTATTTCAAGTAGTGTGGCCCCAAGACGGATTTGGACACTTAAGTCACACTTAAATTTGTATGAATGTTATTGCATTAAATATCAAAGCAAGTGGCATCTGCAAGCATATGATGCTTTCCTCAGAACTAACTTGGCTTCTCTGAGCTGGTTTTGCAGTGACATTTAACCAACTGGTGCCACTGGTTCATCAGATTGTGTTTAACAACCACAATGTGTTCTAATTTTGGACAATGTGTAAATATTTGTATAATTTACAGTCTAACAAATGTATTTTTGTGAAATATTTAGCTTGAAAAGTGTGCTTGTGCTGTCTTTCTTTAAAATATACTACCGTTCAAAAGTTTAGGGTGAGTACGATTTTTGATAGATATTAATACATTAAAGATATTTATAATGTCACAAAAGATTTCTAGTTCAAAATAATTAATCAAAGAATTCTAAAAAGAAGTATGCAGAGTAGCACAACTGTTTTTAACATTGATGATAGTAATAAGAAATGTTTCTTGAGAACCAAATCAGCATATTAAAATGATTTCTGAAGGATTATGAGACACTGGAGACTGGAGTAATGGTAATTAAAACAGAAAACAGTTATTATAAATTGTAATTTGGTCGAATAAATGCAGCCTTGAGACTCTTCTTTCAAAAACATTAAAAAATCTTATCAACCCCAAACTTTTGAATGGTAGTGTAAATGTCATTTGTTTAAATTTTTAAGTGTGGCTAAATTGTTCACTAGGTTTATATTTGACTCCATCTGCATTTTTATCTCTTTCTCACTTTAGGATGGTACAACCGCCTGTATATAAACTTTACTCTTCACCGCCACATCTTCTTCTTCCTGCTGCAGACTTATTTCCCAGCCACACTTATGGTTATGTTGTCATGGGTGTCGTTCTGGATTGATCGCAGGGCTGTTCCAGCCAGAGTTTCATTAGGTAAGATTATCACAAATTGGCATTTTTGCCTCAGGTGTCGTTGTTACTTCCCATGTCAAGTCACGCACCTGCAGATCTTAACAGGATGTGCTGATTTTATCAAGGTATCACCACGGTGCTCACCATGTCCACCATCATCACTGGGGTGAACGCCTCCATGCCCAGAGTCTCCTACATCAAAGCTGTGGACATTTACCTGTGGGTCAGTTTTGTGTTTGTGTTTCTGTCCGTCTTGGAGTATGCAGCAGTCAACTATCTGACCACGGTCCAGGAGAGGAGAGAGCGTAAGCTCAGAGATCGAGCAGTTAGAGAGCAGGTAAAAAAATAGAATTGGTCACACCAAAATTATTTTTTTTCCAATTATGCAGTTTTGCATTATGCAGTGTTTTCCAACTGTAATCCACTACTTTGTCATGACCTCATGACATTTTCCCATCCTGCATATGTGCAACTCTTGTTATTCCAATCAGATATCCTAACACAAAAGATTGTGTGGATATTACTTCCGACTCATCCATGAATTGAAGGTCATGTCAACCACATTGCACTGTGGCATATTGTATTTCACACAGTGCATATTTTAAATTTATTTTTATGCATACAGAAAATTTGCCTACGATGAACTGTATACATGCTTAATATTACAAACTACAAAAAAAATACATGACTTCTCTATAGAGTGCAACAGTGCCCGCTCACTTTATCACTGGCCTTGGAAGTATTTTCCCATTCATTTTTTCCCCATATGGATTTTCAGAAGTCTTTGTTTAGGAGTTATGTGACCTGAACCAAGCCAACCAGCTAGGAGGTGAATCGCAACATTACAAAATCTATAAAATCTATCTACAAATATTTAAAGAGTTTGAGAGTGTAAGAAGAATGTCTCTATCCACAGCACTTCATGGAAATGGGTGGGCGCTAAAGAGTTCTTTTGGCGCAACTTGCTTGTTTCAATTTGAGTGGTGGAGATTTTTGTCAGAATCGTGATTAATGTAGTTTTTCCACCAGGTATTCCACTTTAAACATGATTATTTAAATTAGTTTAAATAATATAAGCTGTTGGCCTCTACAGAATCATATTCCAATCGATTTAACAACCTCATAGCTTACAGTTTCTGAATTATCGTTAAAAGTCAGTTCTATGGAGAAAAAAAAATTTTAATTTTTACTTCTAGACCCCAACTGTTGCACTCTATATCCAACCCCATTTCGTATATTAGCAGGATATACATCAACACAGGAAAGAAAAATTGCGTTTTAACACCCTCCTTCTCTCATCACTCTATTAAGGGTTGAGTAATGTTGATAAGATAGTCAGCCATCAGCTAAATAATGCCAGCTGATAATTTGCCCTTGCTAATGATCTCTTCTCTTTGTTCTCTGTTCTCCCTGGGCGCCAAACTCAACCTGTTCCAGTCATTGCCCTGCACCTGCAGTATGTCCCACACCAGGACCATGATGTTAGATGGGAGCTACAGCGAGGCTGACACTAACAGCTTGGCTGGCTACACAGAAGCTCCCATGGTTCCTGAGGATGTGGTGCCAGAGAAACAGGAGCACATGGTGGTTCACCTGTCAATGAGCAGCGAGTCCACCATCACCAAGAAAAAGGGCATCCGCGCCTTACGCATTATGCAGAACACGCATGCCATTGATAAGTACTCCCGCATGATCTTCCCGGGAGCCTATATAATTTTTAATATTATTTACTGGTCGGTGTATTGCTGATCGTTCTCCAGCTACATCCATCTTTTACTCTTTTTTTGGACTTATGGAGGTTTTATACAACCATCCTTGACTTTTTGATGCACATCAAACATTGGCTCACGTGAGACCAGATTGCAGTTACCTTTGTCCCTTTTCATGCGCAAAAAGACTGAGAGAAAGAGGGTTGTCTGTGCCAGCTGAGTGCTTCTTATAGGCCTTTTCAGGTTTATGACAAATTAACTGTAAAACACTTATCAGACTTTGTACGGGCTTATGTGTTTTCTCTTCATGTTTGCGTCATTGGACTATTAAGTATGTAAAGAGCAAGAAAGTCTGGTGTTAGCTTCTCTTTTAAAGGTGTACTAATAAATTTTTTCCACTGTTTTATAGCTAAAAAAATTATTAGTTTTAACAAATATGTTTTACACTCACATGAGATCCAGTCATATCATTTGCCTATAAAATACAGATGTAAATGCATAAGGTGGGTTTCACCCTCATAGGGTCCGCTATGTTGAGATCACATGACTAGCTGTGTTGTGCAATTTAACAATAAATTTAGATATTCATATATTTATATAGCATATATTTATACAGTTTTGCAGTGCTCAAGGTGCTCTTCAAAATGAAACAAAACGGACATAAAACAAACCAAATACAATATAAATATTAAAGACATAACTTAACAAAGTTCCTAAAGTTAACATACAAAAAGAATCTATGAAAAAGAACAGAAATAAGAAATTAAACAGCTCTGATGTAAAGTGGCAGTGGTTAATAAAATGTAATGCATTCACAAATTATTTAGTGCACCTTTAAGTCTGTCTGCTTATCTGCACAATGTCCAGTTTTATTTCATTTAGGCAAGGCAGTTTGTTTACTCATACTCATTACTCACTCATGTTAATATATTGTAATTACCAGTAACAAGACAGAATCTTCCTCCAGTCTGAGGTTTATTTGGATGTGTGTGTGTGTGTGTGTGTGTGTGAGAGAGAGAGAGTGTATTTGATACCATTATATCTCTTATGCAAAATAAATCTGTATGTCTTTACTGTGGCTCATCGTCATGCATGTTAGTTTTATTGATTATACAATTTTATATCAATTATACTACAACCTGAATTTGCCATTATACCTTATAAGATTTGAGTAAAAAGCTTGTTCATGCGGGCAGTCAGTGCAGGCTAAAGTTTAGTTTGTGATTAAATGGTCTTGAATACAATTTGAAGCTGCTTTGCGTGCAACATCAGACACTGAAGGTGATGGTCATCCTGAATGTCATTTTTTTATGAGTTCAACCAGAGCCATTGAGAGAGGTTTCTTCTGCTGCATCTCTACGTCGCTGATGGTATTAGCTAACACGATCCGTCATTGCTGTAAAAAAAAACTGGTCCATTGGAGTGAATGGAGTTGTTGCGACTCTCAACGACTCTGAGTTCAACAAGATTTTACTTATCATTTTTAACAGTTGAGCTGTGCATTTGTGACATCAATTTGTAGGCCAACCTGGAAGTCTAATTCACCATGTACCCTCGGGAATGAAGATTTAGCCTAATGTTATCCACGAGCCTTATTTTTTTTATTCATAAATCAAAAAGGCTATTCTAATAACCTGTTTGAAATTCCTGAGGGATTCTATGACTCAGAAGTGCTAATTTTCTTCCAAGTTGTTTGGGATTTATATTTCCCTAATTTCAATAAGTTGATCAAAACAAAGAAGCTACTTCATTATTCGTGTGATATTTACATTATGTTTTTTTTTAATCAACACTAAGATTTTCTGTTTGATTGTGGTGAGTTCAGTAGATTCAATAGATTCAGTGAGGTGATGCTAGATATGTGTATTTATAATACTTGATTCCTTATTGTTGTATCTGAGTGATGCTGGGAAAAACATACATTAGGTGTGTTAAACTCTTACTTTTAAAAGGCTAATCAAAAATTCCTCAATTTCTGCGATTTTACCTCCCAGTACTGAGGGAGGTTTATCAGTGAGGGATATTTATGAGTTAATTTATTAATTATTTTTTTATTAAATTTATTTTTATTAATTACTAACAATTTCATAACACAATTAAAAAAAAATCTTCGCCCTCCCTGCCGGTCAGTAAAGCCCGCTCTATTTTTTTATTATTCTGGCGCGCGCGGTCACGTGCTCTCATCAGTGACTCGGCGGATGCGTTGCTTCTGCCTGCCTGATCTCCTCCTCGACCAGCTCAAGCAACTGACAGGTCTGCATTCATTGACTTCCTGACGGATCACTGTAACTTTGTAGCTCGAGGAGCAACTTAAGGTCATTTATTATCATAAATACTCACATCAGATGCACATATATCCGTAAGTACGACCACTTTATCGATTGTTTAAAGTCTGTGTACACAGTCATTTCTGTGTAACGTTAGCTGCATTGCTGGGCTGTTACTTTTTGAACACAAAGTTTAACGTTACAGCTTATAAAGTGCAACACGGTGGGATTTAATGTACTTAACTGTGTCTACATGCTTCATTCGAGGCAGTAATCCTCTATATTTTGTTGTTTCGCTAAATATGTTTCTTTAAGGTTGCATTTATATGATATACAGAGTCAGGCAGAGAACAGACCTTCAACTGTATGCAAATCAGCGTATAATCGTGTAAAGGAGGGCGTGGGGTTGTTTTGGTTGGGACTTGACGTGATTGTGTTTCTAACAGTGTTAAACTGGACAGATAAAAGATGTAAGTAGATGTAATATAACATATAATTTAAGCCATAACGTTATATTTTCCTTTGGACCTGGATGTTCAGTGTAAGTTACTTCCCTTTATTTAATCATCATATGTAGGGTTGGGTATCGTTTGGGGTTTTTTCGATACCGGTGCCAAATCGATACTTATTAAAAAATATAATAAATAAAAATTCCCCCCAAAAATGATGGATTGGCGGGGTTCGTGGGCGGGACTTCACCTAACAGTATACGTAGCAAGGTTTTTTTTTTGTTTGTTTGGTTATTTAGTTTTTATAATAAGGAAAAATTAAACAAGTAGAAAGAATAGGGAAAGCTAGTGTTAGAGGGTCATTTTTGAATAAAAATAAAACAATTCAATAGAACAGAAAAAGAACCGATAATCCTAGTGTTAGAAGGTCATTATTTATAACAAATAAAAATAAAATAAGTGGAAAGAATAGAGAATGCTAGTGTTAGAGGCTCTTTTTTCTTTATAAATAAAACAAGTAGAATAGAAATAGAATAGAGAGTGCAAATGTTAGAGGGTCAAGTTTTTTAATTAAAAAGATCATTTTAATTTATAAAATTAGAAGTAGCATTAGAATAGAGAGTGCTAGAGTTAGAGGGAAAATCACACACTTGGGAAAATCAACCCATGGCAACAGTTTAAAAGTAGCCCAATTCTGTGGAAAAAAACGCGGACTTGGCAACCCTGCATCCAACAAGAGCTACCGGACTCAGCTTTGACTGATCACAGGTCGAGAATAAGGAGAGATGACTGACAAGACCATGCTGGAGTATACGCTTAACAGATCCTGAGCTCATTGACAAATATCTGATCTTGTAAGATGTGCTCCCTTTACACAGAGTGTGATGCTGGGAAAAACATACATTAGGTGTGTTAAACTCTTACTTTTAAAAGGCTAATCAAAAATTCCTCAATTTCTGCGATTTTACCTCCCAGTACTGAGGGAGGTTTATCAGTGAGGGATATTTATGAGTTAATTTATTAATTATTTTTTTATTAAATTTATTTTTATTAATTACTAACAATTTCATAACACAATTAAAAAAAAATCTTCGCCCTCCCTGCCGGTCAGTAAAGCCCGCTCTATTTTTTTATTATTCTGGCGCGCGCGGTCACGTGCTCTCATCAGTGACTCGGCGGATGCGTTGCTTCTGCCTGCCTGATCTCCTCCTCGACCAGCTCAAGCAACTGACAGGTCTGCATTCATTGACTTCCTGACGGATCACTGTAACTTTGTAGCTCGAGGAGCAACTTAAGGTCATTTATTATCATAAATACTCACATCAGATGCACATATATCCGTAAGTACGACCACTTTATCGATTGTTTAAAGTCTGTGTACACAGTCATTTCTGTGTAACGTTAGCTGCATTGCTGGGCTGTTACTTTTTGAACACAAAGTTTAACGTTACAGCTTATAAAGTGCAACACGGTGGGATTTAATGTACTTAACTGTGTCTACATGCTTCATTCGAGGCAGTAATCCTCTATATTTTGTTGTTTCGCTAAATATGTTTCTTTAAGGTTGCATTTATATGATATACAGAGTCAGGCAGAGAACAGACCTTCAACTGTATGCAAATCAGCGTATAATCGTGTAAAGGAGGGCGTGGGGTTGTTTTGGTTGGGACTTGACGTGATTGTGTTTCTAACAGTGTTAAACTGGACAGATAAAAGATGTAAGTAGATGTAATATAACATATAATTTAAGCCATAACGTTATATTTTCCTTTGGACCTGGATGTTCAGTGTAAGTTACTTCCCTTTATTTAATCATCATATGTAGGGTTGGGTATCGTTTGGGGTTTTTTCGATACCGGTGCCAAATCGATACTTATTAAAAAATATAATAAATAAAAATTCCCCCCAAAAATGATGGATTGGCGGGGTTCGTGGGCGGGACTTCACCTAACAGTATACGTAGCAAGGTTTTTTTTTTGTTTGTTTGGTTATTTAGTTTTTATAATAAGGAAAAATTAAACAAGTAGAAAGAATAGGGAAAGCTAGTGTTAGAGGGTCATTTTTGAATAAAAATAAAACAATTCAATAGAACAGAAAAAGAACCGATAATCCTAGTGTTAGAAGGTCATTATTTATAACAAATAAAAATAAAATAAGTGGAAAGAATAGAGAATGCTAGTGTTAGAGGCTCTTTTTTCTTTATAAATAAAACAAGTAGAATAGAAATAGAATAGAGAGTGCAAATGTTAGAGGGTCAAGTTTTTTAATTAAAAAGATCATTTTAATTTATAAAATTAGAAGTAGCATTAGAATAGAGAGTGCTAGAGTTAGAGGGAAAATCACACACTTGGGAAAATCAACCCATGGCAACAGTTTAAAAGTAGCCCAATTCTGTGGAAAAAAACGCGGACTTGGCAACCCTGCATCCAACAAGAGCTACCGGACTCAGCTTTGACTGATCACAGGTCGAGAATAAGGAGAGATGACTGACAAGACCATGCTGGAGTATACGCTTAACAGATCCTAAGCTCATTGACAAATATCTGATCTTGTAAGATGTGCTCCCTTTACACAGAGTGTTTGATCGCGAAATCGAAAGTGAAAGTAAACAGCGCAAAGGCTCATTCAAAAATATTTAAATACATCGCATCCTGAGAGCGGCTCCCTGATGCGCCAAAATTATATGCAATATTAGAATGTTTAAAGAAGTGGACACGAAAATCGGGAGCGAAACACATGTTGCGGGAGCAGGCAGCAATGGTCAGAGATTCAGCGGGAGTGGGATTAAGAAAACAGCCGAATCCCGGACATTTTGGGCAATTAAGAAATCCCGGCCGGACGCATTTTTGTAGGTCCAAAAAGAGGACATGTCCGGGGAAAAGAGGATGTATGGGTCACCCTAATTTATAATCTATTGCTAATCGATGTATTCTTTTTAAAGTAGCA